GCTTCTATTAGTTTACTTTTTTCTCTAATTTTCCGAATATATTTTTTACATATATAAAACGGTTAGTTTTTATTGGAAAGTAGTTAATGTAGGTGAAGAGTGAAGATCTATGTCTGAAGTGCTATTGCAGCTTTTCACTGAACATATTAACTTTTTAGTTGATTTAACTTTAGAAGAAAACTTCGTTGACTCCATCATCAAAAAAAATTTTACTTTTTTAACGTGTTTTATTATTTTAATAAACAATTTTTGAATTTTTGTGCACAGTTCCTATGTAAATTTTTCCCTCATTCGAGTTATAAATTTTGCCACCAGATGGTGTATGCCCATTTGACGCATCCCAATAGGGACGGAGACTGCCAACGGGAAAGCATGTGCCTATATGCTATTGGCTACTGCTACTGTGCATACGTAGTACGTCACTTACGCTGTAGCCATGTTGTGAGTTGTATGACGATGTTTTAGTTTGTTAGGTTAACGTTCTACAAAAATGTCAAGTTATTTTTGAAATTGAGACACTTCAGTGAAATACTCGTTACATTAAAGAATTTAAATAACTATTGCTAAAAAAATTAAAGAAAACAGAAAATTTCTATAATTTTACCATGAGTTATGAATTTAATTTGTGTCAATTTTGTGGAAATGGCGAATTAATAAATTAATTTTATTAATATTAATGGTGGTTTGGTTAGGTTTTGTATATTACTTTTGTAATATTCGATATTTCACGTCCACTCCTTCTTACTTCACCCGTGCCCCTACCAAAAACGACTTGTAGTGTTGTAGAAGGTCATTCCTGCTTCTTCCACCCTTTTTTAATTGCTATTGGTTAAGATACAAACGACTTTGTCTGTCTGGTTGTAGGTACGGTGCGGTCGAATTATCTGAACATTTTTTTAATGAAGTTTTACATACATTAGTAGAGGGTTATTAAGTGTGATTTTTTTCAATTGTTCGTTAGTTATAATAATTGTATTTTTATAAACAATTTGAAACGACTAAAGTTGAAAGCTAAGTTCTTAATAGAGAATAGACTTTCTGGCGCTAAAACAATTTATTTAAATAATCTAACGGGTAATTTTTTGGAAAATAGAATTAAAATGTTCATTGTGTTATTAAGATTGTTAAAATAAACGATAAACTTGTGTTCTCCTAAACTATTAAGTAAATAAATTACAACGAATTAACCATGTACAATATGAAACGTTATCGCCTGTGTCACCTTGAATTAAGACTATTTTAGATCCAGTAATTCGGGCTTTATTTAATGATACTGTTATTGCATTTTTCATGAGGTCAAATAAACACTTCTAATTTTAACGTAACGTCAGCGAGCATGCACGATACGCAGAATGGTTAGATGAATATTCTGTATGTAATAGTATAATAACCCCTACAAAAATGGAAAATTTAAGTTTCACTTATTTATGACGTTTTCAAAGTAAGTAAAGTTAATAAATTGGAAGCTGTCGCCATCTGTCGCAGTTGTGTACAATTTTACCTCTGACACAGCCAGGTCAGGCTTGCAAAAGTTTACGGTGCTTAGTAAGTGGAAAGGTAATAATGAGGTTTCAGTGTCTTTATCACAGTTGATTAGTTTGCCCTAATCGTAATTTTTGTTGAAAGTAAAAAGGAATTTGGAATTTTACATAGTAATAAGTAACGCATAGTTTCTATAATTTTATCAGCCATTGTTAAATATTTATAGGAAAATACTAGAGGGTGCAAATGTAAAAAAATAAATAAAGAAGTTGGTTTATGATCAAAAATGTGCAAAAATCAACCCTCTGTTTTTCTATCCTCGAAATATAAATAAATTCATGCATTACGGAGTCTCTTAATCAAATAAAATAAAATAATGCCTCTGACGTACAAAATTCCAAAGAAAAAATTAAATTTAATTTTTATCATCTAAGATTGTAAAATTCTGCGGTTATAAAATGAACGACTATTCATTTTAATGAACCATAGCTACGCTTTTATATTTTTAATTTTTTTTTTCCTGCGCTCAGGTGTTTACGGGTGAATCCAAAGGGCCTGGACGAAGAAAGCAAGGACTACCTGTCGCTGTACCTTTTGCTGGTGTCGTGTAACAAAAGCGAGGTACGGGCGAAGTTCAAATTCAGTATCCTAAACGCGAAAAGGGAAGAAACGAAGGCCATGGAGAGTCAGCGAGCCTACCGTTTCGTACAGGGCAAAGACTGGGGTTTCAAGAAGTTTATACGGAGGGATTTTCTCCTTGACGAGGCCAACGGACTTCTGCCAGATGACAAACTAACAATCTTCTGTGAGGTATGACTTTTAAATAATTAATACAAAAAGACTGGACCATATTAGGTTAGGTTATTTTTATTTTTTTGTACAGTTTGTATCTTCTTTAATCATATTAGGTTAGCTTCGGTTAGAAATCGTATTTTTAATTCTAATTGGTCATCAGCTGAAGGGGTTAACGGTAATAATTTGCAATTTGCATTTATATCTTTACTGTCATATTTGCACTGGGAATTGACAGTTTTTCTCATGACACCTGGTGGTCAAACAATAAATTAATAATAGCATACAACAGCCAAATTATTCTATAGTATTTACATAAATATTTAATCTTAATAAATTAATTATTGAGTAATAGAAATAAAAATGGATGTTGCACTATTTCAAGTAGGTACGTCAAAAAGATTTTTAATGTGGAGATTACTTGTTTACATTTTTCTTCTAATATGTTACATTATCATCATATTTTTCACCACTGATTCCGAATTTAAATAATTGTTATTAATGTAATTATCAACCCAAGAAAATATTTCACTTGAGTTTAAATAAATACTGAAATCTAGTATATTGTAAAGTATGTGACAAAATAGGTCTGAGTTGTCTTTGAAATAAAACAATTGCTCATCGATAACAATGCAGTAGAAAACAATTATATCGTATAATATCTTCAAAATTGGTTCTTTATAACGTAGAAGTGTTACTATTTGGAGTGAAGAATGGAAGAAAGAAGAGTTTTAAATTTATTCAAAAATAACACAACTAGATTTTATAAAGTTGAAATTAAACAGGTACCTACACATTTATTTGTTCAATAATTCTTTCATTTTATTTTTATAAAAAGCGATTACGGTACTTAAATTTACATGTTGAATACGCGATAGATTAGATACTTGATGGTGTAAACTGGAAAAAACACATTATCGATTTGTTCACGTAAACGAATATTACATTTAATATGTAGTAAATACATATAATTAACAAAATAAACATGCTAACAAATATTATCCACTGGCATACATAGTAATTTATACAGTTACTGCCAGACGCAGATCGCGATTTCGATCCTGTTGGATCTCATCAGCGCGTCGAAGACATTTTCGACAGAACATAGACTACCTGCTGCCTTATTTGTTCAATTTTGATAACCTGCCTATCACGTGGTGGTGGATGCAGTTCAGCATCTGTTTAAATGGACCTTGTTGAGCATATTGAATTCCACTAAATGTAGCATTGAACTACAGATGGCGTTTACCGCACCATTTGTAAAATGTCACAGCAACAAGAGCATATCACAACCACGAACAACAAACTATGAACTTATCTAAAGTGAATACACGAATTAAGCATTATGTCACCAACTAATACGACTGAGAAAGTACCAAATTTATCGGGGATTAACAGCAGTAACAAATTTTTAAGACCAACGGACATTCGTTTCTATAAGCGAGAGTTTAGTTTATTCACGGTACACGATGGTCTATTATAATTAATATGCTGTTCGTATTATGCGGGGTTTCCGTTATGCATTGTTCACATTGACGAGTGTCTTTTGTAAAACTACTGTAATTTTATCAATTTTTTTTGTTGGTACCTAATTATAAAAACATTTTATTACTTTGAATTAATATACGATCATTTCTCTTTACACTGATTGTTAATAAATATACATAAAGTATATTGCATATTTTTCTAATTCACAAAAAGCACGAGTGTTTTGTACTATTTATGCGTTTGATAACCTGAGTGATATTTATATTTTTGTACGACGATACATAGTATATATAAATAAAATCGAATGAAATAATGTCTTTAGTAGAGTGCAACGTTTTTAAAATGGGTTTAAGTTTGAGTAAACACGCAAAGAAGTGGTGTAAACTTTAGTGGCCGTGATATAGAATTTTAACCTTTTATCATTTTATTATTAACGAACGGGCCCGGAATTTGGAATTTATTATACAACTCAAATGTTGTTTTTTTTTTACAAAATTGCCCATGTCTGAAATTTACGTACCTTAAACACATGTTGATCGTCTATCTAACTTAAATGAACATTTCTCTCCTTTTATATGCCTTTTTTTATTTTATATATTATATACTTTTTTTTATTTTTTCAGTAGGATTTTTCTACATTTCTGTTACATAGTTTTCTATACACTCTCTCATTACATGCATCCTCTCCTATGTTTCCTCTTCTATTCCACACATTCTGCATTTTATTTCTTCGTCTTTCGTCTAGTACTTGCATCCCTTACATTAATTTCCCTTTCTGAACCTTGTTAATATTTTTGCGCCATAACTAGTTCCTATATGACTCCTATAATAAATCCTTTAACCCTGTTGCATATATAAATTTTTGAATACTCCTTAAATCTTTTCTTCTTATTATCTCATTACTTCTTACTCTCACCATTTTTCCAAAATTCTTTACTATTTTTTTTTTCAATTCTTCTATTTGTTCTTCCTTTATTTTCATACCACCAAACGCTTTCTATCTTCTTCATTTCTGTTTTTCTTCCAATATTTAAAATCCTTCAAATTTCCTTTCTTATGTCCTCTTATAGATTTTCTAACTTTCCTCTTATAATTTACTACTTTTTTTCGTACTTCTTCCACCATCTTCCCCCATTTAGTTTCCCTTCTTATTACGTAGTCACTTTATTACAATTTTAATTCACATTTTTGAAAGAAGTTGAATTATTTAAAAAGAAAATTTACGTATTAAATTGTATGCCATTTGAAAGGTTCAGGAACAAGGGACACGAAATTTTAGGTTTATGTGAAATATTTTTAATTATTTAGCGTTACCAAAATGAGACAGTTAAATAGAACTATCACCATTATCGTAGATTTTATAGTTTNATACATAAGAAGGGTCAGAAAAATGAGCGAAAATGTTATTATTAATCATTTGGGTCACTATAGCCGGATATGATTTCTTGGGAATCAGTCATAATAAACGATATGTTATTTTAAACGGAATCATTATATCCAAACTTTCCTATAGAGGATTTTATATGAAAACCAAACTTAACACTGCAATTACTTCATATTAAGCGGTTGGTCAATATAGGCGGAGTCATAATAAACGAATTCCATTGTAATAGAATTATAGAGACAATTTTTAATGTAACACATTCACCTAAATATCGGGTTAGAAAAATGGAGAAATTCGAATTAAGGAGTTTGTAAAGCAAGGTGTATGTAAAAGGAGTTAGAGAAGTTCGACTATAGGTAAATTAATTTGCATTATTCTGGCGACTACTGCTGCATAATCACTTTTATAATAATTTTTTAATTCTTAGTTATCTGAAAAAAAAATCTTGCCTTTAAGAAACTTAGTAACATTCACTTTAGTGGCACTATATTAATTTATCGTTGTTTTCTCTTACGATTAGCCAATCTATTTATGGCAGTGTGTGGAAATACCCTTTTGTGCAAAAATGAGGCATTTATTACTTTCGACTTAATGGTGAAATCAGTTGATTCGAAAGAGTCGAAGTGCTCGTTTCTTTTGTAGGCGGAAATATTCTATATCTAATCGTACCTAACGTTCATTGGTGTACCTTACCCACGCCGGTTAATGCACGTGTAAAATGTACGTACCCATGTAACAGTAATGTTTACCAATTCGAAATTTCTGTTACTCCTTATTTGTCCGACATTTTTTTTTATAATGGGGATATTACACCATAAAACTCTGTACGTATTGGGGCGTAAAAAGTACTTATGTATAAACATACAGTTCCCATCCACATTAGTAAACCTACTTCTATTCATATATGCATGTCATGTTCTTACGTAACAGAAGTAATCCAATAAACATATGTACCAACGTTGTATGATGTGAAATGATTTATAAGAATCAGGGCGGATCATCTCTAATATGTTGTATAACCGAGAACATCTCGTATAAAAGGGATTATTTCATCAACACAGGAATAATATTGGGATCCGTCAAATGGGAGGAGCCTAAAAACATGGCGCCGATTAGGGAAAACTTATCGTAGTTCTTATAGTGTACCGTGCAATTTCCAAGTTTTTAAATTACGATAAAATGATAAGTATTGACACAATATGTGATTGGGCTGACACAAAGCCTCGGAAAGGAAATTTCGTTGAAGGTGAGCGTGTTTTTAATGCCAATCACATTATAAAATTCGGAAATAACAAATCC